CCTAGCCTCTACCAGGCACCCTGGATCGCTGGAAAAAAATACCGGTAGTAGAAATTGGCCAAAATAAAGGTCCGTGGGTCACAAATTGGATCTTCTATGGCCTGGGATCTTCTCTGGTATACTATCCCTTTATTTCTGCCAATTTCTACTGTTTTTAACTTTTTCCAGCGATCCGCGGTGCCTGGTAGTGGTTAAGCATCCCCCCAGAATCTGTCTCTGCAATAGGAGACATTTAATATGTTCGCCTGATATCGAAACCTATTTTAGCCGCCGAGTCTCTTCGGAGCATACGAGAGAGACCATTGTAGCTAAAAAAATGGTTTTGCGGAGAGGTCGAAACAAAATAAAACCACCCAGAGAATTTATGAATTTACAGATTGGTCACAGAAGAAGGTGAACTGAATAAAAGAGAAATAACCCAAAAATTTATGAATTCACAGATTGGTCATAGGAAAAGATGGACCGAATAAAAGAGAAATAAAGTAAAAAGTGAAATCCACATAGTAATTACTTGTACATAAGGAATTTGAAAGTGGACACAAGAGGTCTGAATGCCTGAATGATGTTTTTTTATTGCAAAGATCCCATATACATGTACTGGTAGTTCTTTTCAATTGGTCTTTTTAACTACGATATGCTTTTCAATTATATTTTCATGAATCTTATGTTTCTACTTCATTATCAATAATAAATGAAATTGAGCTTTCAGGAAATGAGTTTTGTATACACATTATACATTTTTCATACCAATTTGATTTTGAAAATTAATTTTGACTTTGTTGCATTGACTATGATGAAATGTTCCATGTTTATTTGAATTTTGGAATGTAATTGTGGCATGACTACCAAATGAAAACTTCGTAAATTGACGAAAAATGGAAGTGGAGATATCATATTCATATTGATAACTGAAGGAAACTGTTTATTACAAACTTCTTGTGTATTTCTTTTTAGTTTCGACCAATGAATCAAAATCAACTCTTCATTCGCATCAAGGATTCTACAAGCAAGGGGGTTAAAAATTGTACCAAGTGTAAAAAATTGTAACAAATTGTACCAAGGGTTTTTTAACCCCCTTTTTTTGTACAATCATTAAGTATTTCTTCATTGAAGGTTCGATATTATATCAAGCCTTCAATGAAGAAATACTTAATGCTTAAAGAAAAATGTGAAATATATATATATAACGTTATATATGAAAATTTATAATTCAGGGAAGAGCAATGAAGTTAGCTGATTGAAGGTCTTGTTCCTAAATGAATTGGTTGCTTTCTTTGTTATGTATAACTATATGGTCACGGTTTTAATAATGAAATTCAAAACAATTGAAAGATTTAGTCCAAAAGATGACTGAAATTTTATCATATAGTGTTATAGAGGGTAGAAATAAAAGATGCAATGCTTTTCATCACCAGGAAAAAAATACAACGTTACATAATTTTTGTACACAGAAACTTGCTGTTGATTTCATCATACATGTTAGATTTTTTTTTATCTCTCTTTTTTTACTATAACTTATCTGGGTGAAATGTTGAATCGTACGTTTCTGATAAACATTTCCGTGAAAGATTATTTCTACCAACTCCAAAATTGTTGCCCATATAATACTCGCAGTGTAATCGTTGTTATGCTAGTAATCTAAAACAGACTCACGAAACCCTATGGGACAAAACGTAAACACAGGCGCCAGCATTTCATTTTACAACGTTACAACCCTTTGTAAAGCAGAAATGTAACTGTACGTTTCAAAAATAAAAGGCAAAGAAGCCGTCAGCACTCTATCCCGAGTAGAGACATCAGAATCGAGCGGTCACCCAGTGGTGAACTGAGGGAGGTTAATTACCTGGACTGACCGTACGCGCCTCGGGCAGGGTACCGGGCCGGGGCCATGTCAGGGTCTCGCCGCGGGCGGCCGAGCGTGTTGTGGTGGCCGATCGGCCGGTGGCTGGGCTGGTGGCGCTGCCGGCGAGTGAGTGAGTGGTGATCGGTGAAGCATGGTGCTGCCCCACACTGGAGATGTGCTCAGAAGTTTGGGCGCAACAGGGTCCCGCCAAGTTTGCCGGCTCGACCAATCAGCGCGCTCCTCGCTGATTAATCACACCCCACTATTGATAATCATAATTATACAGACATGCGCAATGACCACCGCCTTCTTAATTTCCGTAATTTTCGAACTCGAGAATTTCAAAATTTTTAATCTTTTTCATTGTTGCTGCTGCTGTGAGAGGATGTCGCGGCGCAAGCAGGCCCGGCCGCAACATTTGGAGTCGGAGCCAGACGTAGCTTCGCTGCTAGAGCAGGGTGAGTGTTGCGAGAACCCCGTAAGACCTGCCCGGAGGACCTAGTCCCCCCGTATCGGCATTTTGACATCTGATAAAATGTTTGTCCAGATTTGTGAATGGGTGGCTTTGCCGGGGCGTCCCGATCACTCTTACCTAGCCCAGACCCTGCCAGAAACCTTCCACGATACCTTACGATCCCTGTTGCTAACTTGTAGCGCCCGTACCCTTGAACCGGCCAAGTTTAGAAGTTTAAGGAAATCCGCTATCTTGACAATTTCTTTAAGTTGAAGTGTGTGTGAGCTGCCACGAATGCCACAGTTGGCTTGGTGCATGGCGAGGGAGCCCGTGGCGCGTAGCGTTTCTTCTCCTCGCCACTCCGCCCGGGACACTGAAGGAATGTCCGGGCAACTTTTCCCGACACTTTGGGTGGGGAGGGAGACTTGTAGGGGGAGTTTGAGACGGTTATTTTTGTCTTGAAGAAGTGTTGAAGAGAGTGTGTGTGTGTTGGTAACGGCGTGGCGTGCGGGGGACCGGTGTGCGCCGCTCGGGCGGGGCCTGCTTGGGGGTGCTGTGGGCTGAGTTATGGCGGTGGGCCTGCCGCCGTGACACGGCCAGCCACACAACCCCGGCCACCCAACTCGTGCTCGGGGAGTGGGAAGGGAGGGGACCGACGTGTGTCAGGCTCGGGTCCCCCCACTCACCCGGCTCAAGGGACCCGGGCGAGCGATAGGATCGGACCTAGAAGTTGTGCCGAAGGTCAGAAAGGGCAGGCCAGGGTGCCTGGGGGCCACATTGGGGGCGCGCGGCGGCCTGCTTCACTCCCCTAGCTAGCCGCGCGCATCTTTCTTTTCCCCCGACCACCGCCTGCTCTCTCATGGCCTTTGTTTGCGCCAAAAGCACATCAAACTGAGGTGTTGATGAACGACACCCAACCTTATTATTTTTACCCACACTGAGAAGTTGGGTACTCCTTTCCTCTACGTGCCAGTGGGTTTTTAGAGTCGTGGGGACTCCCTCCTAAAGTTGTGGGCTAGACTGTCGGAGCGCTAGTTTGCATAATTTGTCAAGTCGTTCCCGCTTCCCTCCATTCCCAAAGGTCCCTTCTTCAAGGACTCGAAGTTGAAAGATAAATATGGCGACCCGCTTTTCATTTACACGACTTCATATTGTTGAAACCAAACCCTTGGGCCTTGGAGGGAAAACAAAGGCCTCCTTGTTGTAGATTTCTCAAATTCTGTGTTGATTTCTCAACCCAGAAGTATGTTTTTCCTTCATGAATGTGAAAAAAGTATCAACTTAAAAAGCTTGGGTGTGTTTTAGGTATGTAAATCATATTGTACAGCAAGGGGGTGCGTGTTTCCCACTTTTCTGTCATGGAAACTTGAGCTATGCTTTTAGCCTGTTGAAGACTGTTGTCTGTCTTTTGAAAGGCATTGACTAGCCACTCTGAGTAAACAATGGTCCCAATCCTGGGCTGTATCGGCATTTCAGCTCGCATGCATATTAGTTCAAACAAATACCTCCGCCACGGTTAGTCTCCAAGTTACGCGTTTCTAACTCAAAACTTCTAACCACGACGGTGGCACACTCCAAGTCGAAAGACGTAAAGAACGCTGTGGCGAAAAGTTTCTCCCCGAGAACAAAAACACTCCCATTATAGTAATGCATCAGTGGAAAACTGCCAGGTAAATACATAAATCTCGCCATAATTTATTACCCTGCATAGCAACTGCTTTGAAGAGATATCCGATGTAAAAAGTTCAGCCCCCATTGTGTTGGGCAGATCATTTGTTACTCTCTTCAAAATCATGCCTGAATTCTTTCTACCGCCACCATTGTGTTTTATCAGGCCGATCTTATGCCTGCCAAGGGGTCGGTACTTGTCACAAAAATGAGTTGACTGGAAATTGTGCAAAGGTAAATAACTACGCATGAATCCACAGCGCTCTGTTTGCTCAGCTTAAATGCAGAGTTGTAGAAGTATGCTGATGCAAAGGCAAACATGCTAATAGCACAAGTATTTGGCTGCCGACTCTGGTAGCTCACTACAGTACACACAAGAAACACAGCGGCATCATAATAACAGCAGCAGCAATCATGTGATGCCTGAATGGGGCATTTATTTTCAGAATAATGGGTGATGATTTATAGTACGGCCATTTCACCCCAGCTAATAAGTGGAAGGACCAGTGCGCAGACAACATCAGTCAGCCAAAATTTTGATGAATGATGATAGTCCCTGCCATGTATGAATACTCGCTCCAAATTGGGCCTTTTGACAGGAATTTTCATAAGTTTTACACACAGGGGTCCGGAAGCAATTCACCGTTAGCAGGGGAAATCCTTACGGTTTCCTGTGCAGATTACCCTTGGGGAGAGTCTTTCTTTGAACTTTTATATGCCCAAACATCTTGTTTGTATCATCACAATTGCTGCACAGTTTTAGGTAGAGTCTTTCGCAGGAGTCTCTTTTGTCCAACGTATTCCAGGAGTCGCGTTGACGTAAATGCCAACTTGGAATCATGTGGCATCCTTCGATGATTAGCTGGTAGAGTGGAGGGAAAGAATGCAAGTAGCCAGAGGCACTTTTATGCAGCCAATAATTATCTTCGCCTGCTTTGTTATTGCTGAATCGAGTTATGTAGATTTCTTAGAAGTTGACATGACCTATCCTTGTTGTACAACCCCAATCATGTATCTTCCTGAAATATCTTCACCTAGATACCCAAAACCTCACACCATCAAGGAAATACATGTTTTCACTCAAAGAAACATTAATTTAGAACATTGCTAGTTGTAAACAAAGTAAAATTTTGTATCTGGTATGAGCATATGGCACAGTTATAAATAAGACTACCAGGCGACTACATCCATCCACACCAGGTAGCATCTTGTTAGGAATTTCCTTGGACCGGTGTCAACAACAGATTTTGTTGATCACAGGCCAACTTGGACTTGGCCAAAAAAAGATTACAAAAGTGACAAAACATTTTAGGACTTCCGAGCAGTATGGAAGTTACTGATTCTCATTGGTAGCTCTCTCTGTTTGGAAGAAGAGGAAACTTCTGATAGCATGTTGTCTGGCATTACTGTTAATCTTTGTATCTTACTATTCTTAGCAAGCTATATCATAGATTTTCATGCGCATGTTAGTAGTCAAAAGGAGGAATGTGTACAAAAGATAACTGCATGACAACTTTTTATCATGTAGATGTGTTCCAAACATAAGTTGTCTTTGATCTCATTCATAAGTGTATAGTGCCGGTAATTAAATAAATACGTGCTAAAAATTCACAAAATGAAGTCCATTCTTATTCGTGATTCCTTTGTAACTACCGCTAATAACTGCCAAGTGTTTGTATGATGCTGCTAAAATGTGCCCCTGACAGTTTGTGAGCCTGATTTACTTGTTCTAGACTGGAATTTGAACGCTGGCTTGATAGGTCTTGACTCCATGTGAACTACACCCTGCTAGTCTAGCCCTAAATCCCCGGATTGGTTTAGCCCCTGGCCTGACCATAAGCTCCGTGTCAGAGGGCACACACCCTAAAAATGGTCGCCATTAGTCCCTTCCTCCCACATTTTTCCCACTCAAGGGGTCGGACGGAGACTTGACATGTCAGAAACTAGAGGAGTTATGGAAGTGTCATGAAATTTGAACTGAAGTCAACATCTTGCTAATCTACCACAGTACCAGCAAGTAAAAATGATCCACTCACACACGGTTGTTTTATGACATGTGAAGTGAAAAATTGATAACTGTAGAAAACCAGGTGGGTAGTTGTGTACAGTGCGAAGGATGAGAACAGTTTCATCCCGCCCTATTTGATTGACTACTGTGAAGAAGTTTGACATGAAGCGAAGTTCAAGTCAGATCCATTGCGTGCCGTTTCTTGGTCCACAGGTTCCGGATTTGTTTTGATGGCCCCACTTTGGTGCATTCCATGTCTGGGGGTAACTGTCAAGAAAGAGTCCATGTGTCACTGATTGTATCTCTCATCAGATATGAGAGTACATTTTTGTGTGTGGAGCATGACACAACCGAGGATGAAATGCCTGCATGGCTGTGCAGTGTCAGCAACGTTTCCTTTTTGTCCCGGTGATATTTTCCATTGTCGCCGGGTCTTATAGGGCAAGGACAGGAGCGAATCGCAACAAAGCCCCCCGCCGCTTTGTCAATACAAATTTCATTTCCTTTTCATACAAGCCTATGGATGTATCCTACCTTCTTCCAACTCAAATTTTCCTTGCCGTACCCTTGTTTTAACAACTGGAGGGCAACAGTAACTAGTTGAGCACGCCAGGTTTGTTTTGAGGGCTCCCGGGCCCAAATACACAGGACAGATGTTTGGCATGTAGCAAAGTTGATATGAAGTCATATATTACAGGCGTACCATGGCGTGATGTTGGGACTTGACTATTGTTTTGCATTCCGAACCCGGGGTGCCTGGCTGATTGATGGCAGCGTTATTTCTCGTGTCACAAGCCCCCTTTCATGACAAGGACACAGGACTTCTTTTTTGTGGGGTATTTGCTAATACATGTAATATGACTTTCTACAAATCATTTCTGCATGGGGCCCTACTTCCCATACAGGCCGTCCACGATCAGGCCCCGCTTGTTGCCTTGTGACGCCCTGATTGGATCACTTTCTTTCTGCCTCTGCCTTTGTTTTGGGGGCACCTTCCAAATATAGCTCTTTCTAGTCTACTTACGGAGCAGAATCCTTCTTAGGTGCTTAAGATAGTATGTTTGCCGTTCTTGAACAATGCGAAGAAGATACAGGTATGTTATCTGAGATTTCTGGTATCCTAAGTTAGAGAGAGAGATATGACACGAAAAATTACTCTCATTCAGTCAAAAACTTAAGTCATATTTTTTTGTTGTTGAAATATTTGACTGATGGTTACATTTTTCAGCAAGTATTATATTCAGTGTTGGTATGCCACTGTCCGTTATGCAAGTTTGCGCCCTTTGTCCGGCTTGAATTGAAGCATCAAGTTTTCCCTCATTAAAATT